GCGGATACCTTAGCGAAGAAGCTTAGAGATGTCTTTCGTGAGACGAATGTGCAAATCAGAAGACCCATGCTGAGAGGGGAACTCAGATTAGCGGGTAGTGATGCGTCTGTCACCTTGGAAAAATTAAAGCTTGCAATCGCCGAGGCTGAAAAATGTGATGTAGAAAATATAAGGGTTGGCTCCTTCAGACTCACCAGGAATGGCTTGAGGACTATGTGGCTGCAGTGCCCCTTGGAAACTGCAGTAGAACTAGCGGAGCGGGGCGATCTTCGTATAGGGTGGTCTACGACACGCGTGGTGCTCCTGAGGAGAAGGCCACTGCAGTGTTATAGATGTTTGGCTGTAGGACACGTCCGGGATAAATGCCCTAGCGAAACAGACAGAACTGATAGCTGTTTCAATTGCGGAGAAAGAGGTCACACTGCGAGGGAATGCGGCAGCCCTCCAAGCTGCCCGATATGTAGAGATAAGGGCTTACGTTATGACCACAGAGCGGGATCGGACGTCCCCCCGTGTCCACCTAGAAGGGATCAGCAGCGAAGTCCTAGGCGAGATGGAACCAGGGCCAATCGAAGTAAGGAGGCCATCAATCCGGAGAAAGCCTAAATGGCTAAGAAGATTATCCAAATAAACTTAAATAGATCCAAAGGAGCGCAAGATCTACTCTCGCAAACTATGTTGGATATTGACTGTGGATTGGCATGTGTGTCCGAACCGTATCGGGTCCCGAAGGACCTTAGATGGGCGCGATCTTCTGAATAGACCCCCATGGCTGCGGTAATGTGGTCGGGCCGTATGCTTCCGGACGCCGTTTCTGTCGACTAGGGGCGAGGGGTTCGTGGCGGTTCCTTGGGAAGGAATCGTCGTAGTCTCTTGTTATTTTTCGCCAAACTGGAGCATCAATCAGTTTAGGATGTTCCTGGCGGCGGTTGAGGATGCTGTGATGGATTTCACCAATAGAGCGCTCTTGGTCGTGGGAGATTTTAATGCCCGCTCACATCTATGGGACAACACGCACCCGACTATTCGGGAGGAGACGATACTCACATGGGCGTCGGCCCTAGACCTGAGACTGCTTAATGATAATTTTGAACCTACATGCGTAAGACCGCAAGGTAGATCGGTGGTGGATCTTTCGTGGGCCTCTCCTGCGGCCCTTGGGATGATGAGGTTGTGACCGGAACTTATCCCAACGTCGTAAATACCCTTGTGCCCTTATCGGATTCTTCCCCGAAGCACCTCAATGCGCAGGCCCGTTGATAGCCAGCTGAGACCTAAGCGCTTATGCTAAACTTTACCGTATACCGCGTCTACTTTAAATATGCACCTAAGCATGAAAAATGGTCGCCACTTCGTTTTTCCTTAGCCACGAAGAAGGTTTGATGTTGAACAGGGCCACCACCGATGATCTGCAATACCCCGGTGTTCTTTCGTGTGGTCTGCTTCCTGGAATTCTCGCCCCGGAATGTGGTGGATACGACTCGTCGAACGGAACAAAGCGGGATAAGATGTGGGCGCTTATTTCAACTCACTCTTGATATTTTTACAATGTTTATTGATTATTTATATAAGATCTTAGCGCACAACACATTCACACACACACACACACACATTCACGCTTTCACGCTCGAGAATTAACGCAAACCACGTACGCGGTCGCGTCTTCGCGCCGTCGGAAGCCGCAAGGATACGAGATCGACTCGCAACACGTCGACAACGCGAATTGTCGTGCGGACGGCCCGTCTTCCGAGGTCTCAATCGTTTCGCGGATCGACTGAGATCCGTACTACTCGAACCGACGTTGCACGGAATGGAAATGGTCGTATCGGAATCACCACTCGCGAAATACTCGACTTCACGGGTAGAATTCGTAATACTTAAACGTGTTCGCAATATAATTTGTAACGCGCTCGGAATAATACGTCGTAACACGGGTCTTTGCCGGCAAGAGCGCAACAAAGGGGCTCTTGTTCTTTATCCGTAAACGCACGTCCGCTCAGGTCGAACGCTGCGAAGCAAAGACCAGGATCTTGGCGTCCGAGCCGATTCTGCCCGCCACTTTCATGGTCAGGTGGGTTGGCGCGGCCAATCACGAGTCGCCCTCGTGAATAGGTACCAAAAGTGGTATTATTCCGCGTCTTTCGACACTCTCGTCTAATGAGAGGTCGAGTCGGGAAAGTGGTTCCCTCATGCAATGTATTAATACGCGGAAATTGGCGCCAACCAGGTGTACAATCTAGATGTCCATCGATTGTGGACAAGTCCCTCGAGAAGTCTCTAGAGGGTTGGATTAATCGATCCAGAGTGGTTTCCTTTCGAGGTATCGACTTTTGGAAACTTCCCACAGTCTCAGGAAGTTCCCAAAAGGATCTAGACTGGTGGATATCTGGAAACTAAATTATAAGTGGTTGGTCCTTTGTGTCTATCTTCACTAGGACAATCTATGGATCCCGAAAGTGGATCAAATGTGGCTGAATCTTTGCCAATTTATCTTCTAACTAATTAATAATATAAACTTTATGATTTGCGGATCGTTGTGGATCCCTTCTTGTAGGCAAACTAAAATACAACTGAATTGTGGCACCATCAACTTGATTCGGAACAACGTGGTTCAATCTAAGGTAAGTAACGTGAAATAACTAAAATGTGGATTAGAATTAATTTATCTCTTTTCTGTTTCAGGGTTCCCTCAAGCTGATGCTGGTTTTCAATCCAAGGTAAGTACTCGACAAAACTCAATCTTCATTTGACTCTATTACTAATTCTTATCCACCCTTTATTTTTAGGAAACGACTCTGGGTTCTCGGTCGCAGTTCGGTAAGTATAACAGTGTTTTATTAATCATTCGTCCACTCACACACGCATTCAGTGCGCGTACAAGGTAATTATTAACTAATTATTACAAAGGCAAATCTCTTGAGCCTGTATGTCAAATATAAAAGAAAGTAATGCTTCACACAGTAAAGTGGTAAATCTTGTACAAAATGTGGCTATTGCCATCGCAAATCATAAAATACATAAAGGTGGTTGATCTGTCAACCACACCCAATAAACTAAAATAAACTCAATGTATTAATTATAAATGAACAAGTAATATAATAAAATATGCCCTCTTGGGTCTTCCGCTGGACCACAAATGCTAATCGCAAACTAAATCAAAACTGAAATATCAATATAAAATACACAAATCCGCAACTAAATAATTAATATCACAAATGTGGAACGCTGTAACGTGAATAAATGAAATATAAAGAAAGATAATATCAAACAATAAATATGGTCCACCTTTTTGTAGCCATGTCGCATCCTATTGACGCGGATTGAAGTTTGGGTCGCTCGCGGATGTCGCCGATGTTCCGGGTTCCACCTCTGTGCTAGTTTGACCCTCCAGCATCCTTCCTGTAGCTGGAACTTTTTCGACCGCCGCTATCCCTATGTTGCTATTTCGAGCCTGGCCCAACATCGCGTTTGCGATATCTAATTGAAAAGATGGCTCGTCCGCAGCAGGAATTGTAGTCGGTTGCGCGACCGTTGCAGGCGGCGGCTGAAAAGCCGACGGTTGCAAGGTCGTGGGAGGTTCTAAGGGACGCTGAAACACTTTCCGATCAAATAAATACTCATGTGTATCGGCGGCCGTAGACCCAGAGAATACAGAACGGACCCAAGTAGTTTCCCAAAATGGAATAGGAAAAGCTTGAATGCGAATCGACTTCAAGCCAGCATCGCGGCATACTTCTGGCCCAGACAGATTGAAAATTCTAGCGCTGAAGATTTGGCTATGCAACTCCAGGACGCATTGTCCTTAGCCTCTGACGCAGCTATGCGGCGACACAAGAGCAAAGCGAAGAAAGCTGTCTATTGGTAAAATGAAAATATTGCACAACTCAGAAGAAAATGCATTGTCCTTAGAAGAAAGGTTATTCTAGAGCATAAGAGACAACGCGGACTAGCTCCGGCGTTAGAGGTAGAGCTGTCTCAAACACGCAAGGCCTTGAGATCTGCGATAAAGGAAGCTAAAAACTCGGCCTGGCGGGAACTAATGGATACAATAGACAGAGACCCATGGGGACGCCCTTACAAAATAGTAATGGACAAGATGAAGCCTGCATGTCGCCCGATCTGTGAGACATTACCGTTGGAGAAGGTACTTAAGATTATAAATGGACTTTTCCCCCTCATAAATGAGGAGACGGTTGTAAGGCCAAGAGAAGTAGTTCAGTGGGACGAGGACTTCGCAGTTAGCACGCAGTAGGTGGAACTGGCTGCATCTAAGTTGGGGTCTAAAAAAGCGCCTGGTCCGGATGGGATACTACGCGAGGCTCTTAAGGCGGCCTTGCCTGTCTGCAGCAAGAGAGTAGCTGCATGTTTTACAGCCTGCCTCAGGGAGGGAACATTCCCATCTTGCTGGAAAGTTGCGCGGCTTGTTCTCCTCAAGAAGCCAGGGAAGCCGGACTTTGTGTCTTCCTCGTATAGGCCAATCTGCCTCCTTAATGAAATAAGGAAACTTTTCGAGCGGATTTTAGTCAAGAAAATCCGGGCATGCCTGAAAGAGAGACTGGGTCTGTCCACCCATCAATTCGGCTTCCGTACTAAGAAGTCGACGTCGTTTTTCGCTTAAGAGAGATACTAGAACCGGTGTATGAAGAGGGCCGTTTTGCTGTTGCGGTGTCCCTTGACATTTCGAACGCCTTCAACTCTCTGGTGTGGGCCAAAATTCGTGCAGCCCTGGAAACAAAGAGATCCCAAATTATCTCAGGATCATGGTGAGCAGTTACTTGTCGAATAGATGGATTAACTTTGTGGACAATAACAGGGAAGTCAGACAAGTCCAAATGACCTGTGGAGTTCCTCAGGAATCCGCCTTTGGTCCGGAAGGCTGAAACCTTACCTACGATAAAGTGTTGCAGCAGGACTTCCCGGGTGATTGCAGCATTTTATGCTACGCGGACGATACCCTCATAGTCGCGCTGGGTGATAATATCAGGGAAGCCATCGCTCATATGGAATACGCGGTTGCTGTGGTGATCAGACAAATAGAGAAGTTAGGTCTAAGCATATCGCCCCAAAAAACGGAAGTGTGCGCTTTCTCTCGCGCACATAGGTTTGTGCACGAGGAAGTTGTGGTAATTAAGGGCTATCTAATCCCAGTGAACGCCGATATGAAATACTTAGGGCTAGTGTTAAGCAGGAAATGGTCATTTAGGGAACACTTCAATCGCCTGCTTCCAAAAGCAGAGAGAATGACACTAGCTTTAGCTAGAATTATGCCGAACTTGAGAAGCCCCAATGAGCACGCGAGGAAACTGTACTGCGGGGTGATCCATTCGGTCATCTTTTACGGTGCACCTGTTTGGGCCCCCACTTTACGTACAGATAAGAGAACTACAGCGGCCATACAAGCAGTACAGAGAAAAGTCGCACTTCGGGTTGTGGCGGCGTACAAAACAGTGTCCTGTCCAGCGGCGTTCCTATTAGCTAAGGTTATCCCGGTCGACTATTTAGCGGACAGATACAAAGACGTGTATATGGACACCCGAGCGATTCAAGAAAAGGAGATTCGGATCACACAACGTATGCACGATACCATCAGGGAAAGAGCATTGGATGCGGCCCTGACTAAATGGAAAAATGTATACAGTAGGCCAACAGCGGTGGAAGTTAGGAGAGTTCTTGTGCATAACTTGTTCCAATGGTACAAGCGCGCCCGTGGCCATCTGACGTATAGGATGACGCTGATGATCACTAGCCATGGGTGCTTTAACGACTGCACCGAATAGGTAAGGCACCTGGTAGTGACTGTTCGTTTTGCGAAGACCCTTGTGATGACCCCTTCTAACAACCATACACTAGCCGGGTGTCCGGCATGGGCGGCAGAACGGCAGGTGTTGGTTGAGGCGGTTGGTCCGGACCTATCTTTGGAGTCGATTGTTACGGCGATGCTTGCGTCATCGGACAAATGGTCGGCGTTTGGAAGTTACTGTGAAGCGGTAATGAAAAAAAAGGAGGATGCGGAAGAGCTAGGCAAGCAGAGGCTCAATTAAATGAGGTTCAATTTGAGGATTCATGGGAGGAGGGTGAGATATAACATAGCGACTGTATGACAGTCTGCCTTTCGTTTCCTTTTTAATCGTTCTCTTTCTTTTCTTCTTGCGGATGCCTGTAAATTCATGGGGCCTTTTGACCTCATAATCCTATGCGGTAGGGCTTCAGCCCATGTTCCTAAGTGGGGTCCTGATGCAATACTCTCCAGTAGTTCCGGGACCCCTCTCTTAGATCTTGCGGGATCTTTTAGGTGGATTTTTAGCAGGTAGGCAATCGGTAAGGCCAGCAACTTCAGTTAGCTCACGGGCTGGCTGAGACCGTCAAGTCATGACCGGTTGAATCCTGCACTCTCCTGTAACAGGCGCAGGGGGTCTATGAAAATTTTTACCACCTTTATAAAAAAAAAAGTTGGGGTCGTCTCGTGTGCGTAAAGGTGTGTGGACGTGCCTCTGTGTCGCTCCGTAGTCTCCGTACACGATCGTGTGGAAGAAACGTGCGTAGTGCGGTAAATGTGCTTCTATTGTGTGCGGTTTTTGATCCTGTTGAGTGATGTGCGTTTTGTGTCGCGATTGTCGAAAATACTTGAGATATTCGTGAATTTTGTGACGGTCACATTGCGCCGGGGCCGAACGTGCCATCATGGCTGTCGTTTTCGCGCCGGGCAAGTCGCGCTGTTAGGGGCAAATATACCCCTTCCGGAGTTTATATTAAATTCTCCGCACATATCGCGCTCCGGTGCATTACATGGTGGCGATTTGTCTCAGTCTCGGGCGGTTTTCCGACTTTGCATAGGAATAAAAGCCGAACATATGTGCGAGTCGGATAGCGTGTGACGACAGATGGCCATGTGTTCGTGGCGCGCGGGAACGTGCTGGCAATGCATATAAACCCTATGGGACATACAGCTGTCGAGTATGTACATTGCCGTGGCTGTTCTTTCGTAGTGTGCTAGTGGTGTATTCCCGTGATGCGGGATACGCTCATGCGTTCATTGGAGAATATAACTTTTGTGCTGTGAGATCGCCTAGTGTCGGGGTGCGCGCGAGTGTACGTGTCTTCCCGCCTGGGCTCATGCGGACGCACCCTTAGTCGAGTTCGCGGTCTCGCTTCTGTAAGATATCGGCTAGATATAGTTATTTTAGTTATAGTTCCTGCGTTAGCCGTGTAAGATGTTCATGTCTATTGTTACTAAAGTCCCTATCTAGTGTCTTTAGTTGTTACTATGTGTTTTCACTAAGCGTATCCACGGGATATATGGCTCGTGACTGATTGGCTGCGGGACGCGCGATGCGCCTCTAGCACGCGGAAAGGAAGTCGAAGAGAGGAGAAAGGCGGGAGAGTTCGCCTTGTGGTGTGAGACAATAAAGAAGCCTTTTGAAGATACTCGATCAGTGTGCCCTTTCACCTTTCTATCCATCCTGGCTAGTCTCTTACACTTCTCTGTGCTCCGTGGTTGCTTGTGCCACATGCTCGGAGGGCGATTGTGCGCGAGGATATTCATGCCAACTGGACTGTGGTCATCGTTGGACTGCTGCACTGGGTGCATGGGGAGTGCATGGGCGCGGGTCTGACCGAGTTGCGCAAAAGTGAACGCGTGGCGGCGCGCGCTGTGCATGCATGTTAGAGACTCTTTAATAAAAGTCGCGAAATCAGGAATCCAATTTTGATTGGTGCCGGCATTTTTTAGCAAATACCGGAAATAGCCATGGCGCCAAATTTAATTTCTAAAGCATGGTGTTTCAAATAAAAGAAATAAATTTTACAGATAATAGACTTTTATTATTTATTTCTTAAATACTATGCATCGCCATTGTTTTGATATCAAAATATCGTTCTTTTTTTTCTTTATGTTTTCTACATGCTATCTTACATCTAAATACAGCAAATCTCTTAAAAATTTTTATATTAAGGTTATGACACTCGGGTATAAAATTACACCGTATATAATGGGTAAACAATCTTTCTAATAATATTTTAATATTTATATCTGTTTTAAATATATTTTGTTTTTTACATTCTCGAAATATAAGTTCCATTTGCAAAAATATATTAAATGTCGCTTGATTTACATAAAATAACGTATTTTTTTTTAAACAACGTATTCATACTAATTTAGAATAATGAAATGTTCTGTTTGTTGTATTACGAACAGAACGAATGCATTCTGTACATAGTGTAAAAGTTTTTTGCAAGCTGTGAATTATATAACCAGCGATATTGTATAATATATTCATTTCTGTATTATTAAAAATAGAAATATCTTCCAAATTTACTTTTATCATGTTAACATCAATATTTATATTTGTATTTACAATGCTTGTTTTTTTTTTTAAGCAATACCATCTAAAAAGCCCGTTACATAATCTCTATCATCCTCATCATAATTATTTCTTGACACATGTCGCATATATAAAGAAATAGAAATAAGTTTCAAATTATTTTTGAATTGTAATGCGTTAGGAATAGGATTCTTGGATTTGATTACAGAAAAAAGATTTTCCACACAATCTTGGGTCAAACGTCCA